CACGCGACACACTCTATCAGCTAAATATGGCACTAACTTCGCCGACAAGCGGAGGTGGCTCGGTCGGTATAGTTCGCTTGCGGACTAATACCACAGAGTTAGCGGCCTCCGTAGTATAGAGGTAACGTTCCCACCTCATGACTCGTAGTACGCGGGTTCAAATACCCGGCGGAGGTCGTCGAATTTTTAAGGGCGGAAAAATCCAGGGAACAAGTCCTCCGGGAGGGACTTTAAGCCGTGGGTCCCGTGTCGTAGCTTTACGGCACGTAAAAGAACCTCATATCTCCAAAGGAGGTCACTGAGCCAAATTACGGACGTTTCCCGCCCAACAGCAGTCTTTAATACCTCTGGTAGATGGGGGAAGCATTATAGATACCTATCCGCTAATAGAGCCGGTCTCGCTGGCTGGGCGGGACTGATGGTAAGCACCAGTACCGGTAGGATATAGAGACTGGTAGAATATCATAGAGGGAAGCACAATGTTCCAAGACAGGTTTAAGTGCATGGGGAAACCCACCCTCTCCAATAACTAACTAACTAACTAATACCACGGAGTTAGACAATTCTGTTTTTAACTTCAATAGTCCATTTTTATATAGACCTGCAATAAAACCCCGTCAAGGGTCAGAGATTTGTTAAACAAGCAAACAGCGAGAAGCAAGCAACAAGGAGTGTGATTCAAATTGTTGCATTCTTCTTGTTTCTTGATTGCTCAACACATCTTTCACCCTGAAGACGGTGACAGAATATTCTTCCGAAAAGTCAGTGATCTTCTAGAGGACTACACGGTATTATATCCTAGAACATAATAAACTTCATACCAACGACTGTGGGAACATTCTTACTGCATAACTTTCGAATTCGACAAAACACTAACATTAGTAGCAACTGAACCTCCAAGCCGATTCGCCTGAGGAACTTCTTAGTGAAAGACACGCAGGCAACCTATTGTAAGAGTATTGTCACAAGTAGTGCTGCTACTGCTGCTATTTCCGATAGGAAAGAAAGGAGTTACATACATTTTCAGGAAATATGGCGCCCCTTAAACTGAGATTGGCCATAAAATACAACGTGGGAGTAGAAACTTATTACGATGTCTGCCTATCACTTTTAAAATGATTTTATTTTAAATTTATATACATTCTAGTAAAATATTCAGTCCTAATAAGTGACTAGTGAAGTATGCGCATATTATCTGTCCATGTTTTCAGTGACATACATGTGGGTTGCATATCTCAATCGGCGTGCGTGTGGGTGTGTGTGTTTTCAGCAGTTGCTGAACAAAATTACTAATTTTGTGGAAAAAGTCGTGCGGACACAGCAAAACTTAAAAAAGCAAGTCTCTTGCAGGCCTAACAGAGACGATAAAACACTAGCGCTCTTCATTGTAGTAACTAACCAATCAATCAACTCGCTCACTGACTGTCTTTTAACGCTAAAGGTAGATACGACCATTGGGGAGCCAATTTACTTGCTCGCAACCCTAACTTGTGTGAGGGGTAGGTCTTCTCGGCCCTTGCACCGCTACCTACAGTGGTCTATTGAGCTTAAGCCTAACATACTTCACACTCTGTAACCTTACATTTGCCGGGTAAGAGACCGAACCCCCAACTTAAAGACCAAGGATGTGCTCATAGGTTTCCATTTCAATAAAATCCGCCTTGTTATTTTCCTCTAAACTTTATATTAATTTACCAGTAATTTTCTAACAGGATTCACTATTCAGTATTGTGTCTGCATTCCTCAGACTTGCCAGTCACGGTAGCCGAGCGGTCTAAGTTATGTACTGTCTTCGCTCGCTTGGAAACCGGGAACGTGGGTTCGAATCCCACTCAGGGCATGGATTTTTCTGTGCGTTTTTCTGTGTTTGTGTACAGGTAGAGGCCTTGCGACCAGCTGATCACCCGCCCAAGGAGTCCTACCGAATGTGTAAGATCTAGAAAAACCGAAGTGAACGGAGAAGTTCATGGAGGTAGGCCTAGGCCCAAATTTGGGCTGTAGTGCCAAGGAAAAAAAAAATCCTCAGATTTGCCTGTCATGAAAACATGTCAAGTCCATCAAAAAAATGAATTAACTATCTAATCAATGTTAGGCAAGCCACGTAAATATCTCACTACCTCCATGTTTAAAATGTTTATCCTAAAATATATCCTGAGTTAAGAGTGATATAAAGTAACATCTTGTAGTCCGTTGATAGTCAGCAGACGTTTCGGAGGATCATAGCTTCTCCATTTTCAAGGTCGAAGAATAAGCTGAACAAGAAGCTGACGTGAAAGCAGGTATCAGCTGGAGTTTGAAGCGATGTGTTCCTCCGAAACGCCGGTTGACTCTCAACGGACTACACGGTATTATATCCCAGAACATCATATCCTCTTCAGGAGTTTTTTTTTATGTAGAATAAGACGCAACAGTATGGCAATAGCGAAAATATGCACGTAATTGTAAACCATTGTACGTGACACTATGAGAAGTTGGGAATTAGATATATTTTTACTAGTTTGGCATTGTTTCTTCTACATTTCCATGTTAAGAAGTTAGCGACACGACTATTTTAGGTTACGCTTGTAAGTTAAATGTAACTGGAGCGGATTCGCAAAATGCCTTCCTTCTTTGCTTTCTTTCCTTCCAAATATCAATCTAAGAGAAAATGCGTGGTACCAATATTGGATGGAAAAACACCGGACTTGAACATGGAAAAGCATGTTAAACACGTGTCGTCAGCCAATGAAATACTTGGCTAGTCGTGCCATGTTTTGGAAAACATAACAACAGAAAGAGCTCCCCTTGACCGAGGGGTGAATGACAAATTTTCACATGATGACCAGCGGATTTTTCTACACGTAGAAGTTTCGTCGTAAAATAATGTTCAAAGAACAAAATGACCTCTACAACTCTCACTGGTTAACTGCTGCTTTGAACTGAATTTCTTCTTTGAGGAACACGTGAACTATTACGCAACCTTAGACTGAGCTCTGGACATGAATCTGCCTCATGACACATCACCAGTTTAGTGATGACAGCAGATATAATTTTTAAATCAGAACTACGAAACTTCCCTTGCCTGATCTACTTATACGCCGAACGGTATTCGATAAGTCTTGAGTTCCATTCTAGACTCCGAGCCCGGCTACACTGCCTGGGAATATTAGCAGATTGCCTCGCTTCCTCCGGGCATGTGCGAGGATATGCATGTTGTAACGTGTCATTTAAGGCGTCGTTAAACAAATTAAGGAATGAAACCTATTTTCATAGACATTTAATCTATGTGAACTTTTGCTGCTGTATACCTGCCTGTTACAGAGAGTGACTGAGAAAAGTATATTATTGTTTCCGACTCTCGCAAAGTTCCACAGAACTGAAACTGAACTTCTGTACTGAGCTACAGCACATTTAGCTATAAAAAATTGTGGAGAGGTCTGAGAGACCTTGAGCAACTAACGCGATTATCAAGTTTGTTTAACTTTGAGTGAAACGAGGGCAACACCACACATGCTTATGGGCACGGGGGGGGGGCAATAATCCTCATTTTGAGAAAGTAACACATCACCAAGTGCTATACAAAGTCACGGACTCTCAGGCTCTTCTAAGCACGGTAATGAATTTTCGGGTTCCATAAAATTTGGGGGATTTCTTGTTTAGCTGATCAACTGTTAGTTTATCATTAACGACTTTTCTCCACGGGATTAGTTAGTTATTTTTTTCGTTTGTATCCACGCGTAGGCGCCAATCACAGTGGCCGCACAGTCTAAGGCATGAAACGTCTTCTCTCGCTCGGACACTGGGATTGTGGGTTCGAATCCCACTCAAGGCATGGATGTCTGTGTGTGTTTATTCTGTGTTTGTGTTGTTTTGTGTGTATGCAGCGGCCTTGCGACTGGCTGAACCCCCGTTCAAGGAGTCCTACTGACTGTGTATAGGATTAAGAAACTAGAAACTCTGCCAAGGTCCAACAAACGGCTGTAGGGCTATAGACAGATAGATAGATAGATAGATAGATAGATAGATAGATAGATATGTGCAAGCAGGGCTACCTTGCAGAGAACCAGAGCCGATGAGCGAATCGTGGAACACTTACTCGATGCGTTGCGTAGCACCAGACGTGTGAGCAGCCTGAATCGGCAGCGCCATTTTCATACTTTGTCAATGACGGAGGCGTCATGGCGAATATAATCGAGAATGATAGGTTTCAGAATTAATTCTGAACCTATGAATCCTGAGACACTTGGCACGACTTCTTGAATGGAGGATTGGCACATTGGAAGGTTTCTGCCTGTACAGGACAAAGCAACACGGGGTAACGCGCGCATAGCAGTACATACTCCATGCCTTGACCGGGATTCGAATCTGCAATCTACGTGCATTAGGAACATGACCACAGAGTCATTACGCCATAATCTATCATTCATCGTACAACTCCTTGCGTTGTGTACTTCGGTGTACAAATCACTGCAATTTCAAGAGAGGCCACGTAGTAAACTTACACGCGTATGGAAAGAGAGCATTAATATGGATCTGAAGGAAATGACTGAGGGGGAGAGATTCGCCTGAGTCAGGAAATGGTCCAGTTACGGAGTCTGGTTATTGCAACAATGAATATTCAAGTTCCATACAGAGCGGGAGATTTTTTGACTAGCTGAGGTAGTGTCAGATTCACAGTAAGAACTTTGTTCCATTGAATACACTTATGTAAGTTATACACCCGTGAGGGACATCAGCACGTGCAGTAAAAGATAACAGCTTTATCATGATATGAAGTCTAAGCTCTTTCTGTTGCTTGTGGCAGTGATGGGGTGATCCATTATGGCATACTCTTATTCCAGACTTTGTTCCACTAAATGTATGGAACAGCTATTGCAAATAAACGCTTACTTGTTATAGAAAATAAAATCTGAATTAAGTAACACGTAAATTAAGGAATTATATCTTTATAAAAGTGTTCTGTAAGCATCTCTTCTGTTTCTGAAACTCATAATCTTTACTTTTAACATTTCTGTCACATTTGAAGTACTAGAAATATTCGCAGTTGGCATAGCATATTTAGGTTTCGAAGGGACTACTCATACTATCGTACTATCTGATGTCTTTGTAACATACCATGTCATCAGACATACTGCAGAAGTCAAATTGCAGTGGTTTCCGTAAAGAGTTACACCGAAGTACACGTCACAAGAAGCCGTAAGGTAAACAGTAGATTTAAGACGTAATAACGCTGTGGCCATGTTACCTCAGGCACGTGGATTGCAGGTTTGAAACTTGCTCGGGACATGGATGTTAGTAGGACCGCGTTACCCTGTTTTATTTGTCCTGTAGAGTCACAAACTTTCCCAGGTGGCCTGCAAAATATCTAAGGATTCATAACTTTGATTTGTTTCATTCTGGTCCGTCACGCTAATATTAAGAAAAAGTTAAATAGTTCCGTCCAATGTGACTGGAAATAAGAAAATTTCAACCAGTCACACTGAACGGAACTATTTAACGGTTTCATGATTCATAACTTCATTATTAATTCTGAAACGTAACAGTGCAGAAACCATAATTCATTGCAGAGGAACAGGAAGAAGAATAAGGCATATGTAACTACTCGTAATTCAGAGATAATGTTGGTGTACAAAACGATAGATTTCAGGTCAGAAATATTTAAATTAGAGAAAAATAATTCCACGGAATAGAGTCCTTATGTTTGTAATATTCGCTCAACTAATCATTGCACAACTGTCTTCGCTCGCCTGGAAACCTGGATCGTGGGTTCGAATCCCACTCAGGGCATGGATATTTGTGTGCGTTTTTCTGTGTTTGTGTACAAGTAGAGGCTTTGCGACCAGCTGATCACCCGCCCAAAAAGTCCTACCGAATTTGTAAGATCTAGAAAAATAGAAGTGAACGGAGAAGTTCATGGAGGTAGGCCTAGGCCCACTGGGGCCGTAGTGCCAAGGAAATCATTGCACTGCATTATATCTCTGAAAATAAAAGTCTTCATATTCACTGCTCTGAGAACCTCACATCCTGCAAGTAATCAAGAAATGTCTGCATTTTATAAGACCCAGGTGCTTCATTGTCACAGTAAAAAGAGCTCACTAAGCCAGATGACTCAATTCTGCAACCTTATGCACTATTTCTTTAAGACAAATTTTAATATCAGCATTCCAGCTGTGCCTAAACCTCGCATGAAGTCACTTCCCGCCAAGCTTTCCAACATTTTGCATTCATTTCCAGATTTACTCATTTGCACATATCTAAAATTTTGAGGTACTGAAAGAAGTTCTAAATCGAGAGAAGAGTTTCAACATGAACGGGGTGCTGTGAATTCACCTTTGGGATGTGCGACAGGGTTTCGCCCATTAGGCTATTGTGTATTGTGTGGCAATCGATATTCCCAGAGCAGTCAAGGTGACATTTGTTTCCAAAGGAATGATAAATTTCTTACAAGGGTTTGAGATTACTTGAAGGATGGATGTTGGCTTACATGACAACTGATAATAAATTTGCGGAAGAGATTGAATAGGTCGAGTCCGTCCATGCTGATGCGTCTTATACTGGGAAACTTAATGTTGTATAGGCACTTTGTCAGAGAATTCCTATCTGCTTCAGTCACGACATGGGTTTCTTCTCTGGCCTTATCATCTCCTTAACACATAGAGGCAGCTTTCGTGAAAATGACAAGTGGTGAATATTTCATATGGCTACGGCTTTCGAAATCCTTGTCCTGTCTTTCAGTCCTTCATTGATTCGGCGAAATTCTTCGGCTAGTGTATCAGAGTACTTGAGTAGTTATAATGGTCTACGGTCTACTCTGGTGTTTTCAGTAGAGAAACTCCTCTCTCCATATTCACACAACAAAGTTGTCAGGAACTCAGGTATCGTATATAAAAAAGTAAAGATTTTATATGTGATTCTGCGGTATGAATGCGTATATAAATCTTGGATGTAATACCGTACATACTCTGGAATTAGACGTTACTTGGGCGTGTGGTTAGCTTCGCGCTCCGTTCGTTTGACTTCCAGGAATAGAGTTACCGATCCACTTAATAAAGTGAGTGGACCCCAAAGCCGGTCTGGACATAGTAATAATTAAGAGAATATAATTTTTTTTCGGAAATTCACTTGTTAGGCCACGTGGTATCATAAAATGTGAACTTCAACAGCCGAAAAGACCTGACATCTCATAAAACAAACTGATTTCCAAATCATAGTGCATTAGTGCATAGAAAATTCGTAAATTAATTTATGACCAAAGGTAAAGAGCTTTTTGTATAAAAATTTATTGTCTTTCTAACTATGAAGGGCGCACACTCTAAAGTCCATAGTAATTTCGATTACTCCAACACTGGGATCGTTGATTAGAAATCTACTCGCGACTAGATTGTTTAGCCAAGTTTTTTTCTGTGTTTATAGTGTTATGTATAGGTGGAGGCCTTGTAATGAAACCATCTCCTGTTCAATGAGTCTTACCATAAGCCTAAAGATTTAGTATTAACAGAAATCAATTCTGAATCCAAACCCGTCAGAAGTCCTAAGCCGTAACCTGAAGAAGAAGAAGAAGAATAAATAAGCGTTCGTATGATGTTCAGAAAATATACAATATAAGAAATAAGTACTCCATCTCGACGATTTATTTCGGTACTCACAATGGATAGGACGAAGACAGTATCAAATAAGACACTTATTTTATGATATTAAAGCGTAATTATTATAATTTACTTCCACAAATTCTCAATATATTTACAAAAAGAAGTCGATGTGTGGGAAACAGCTAATGAGCTTGTTTAAAACTTCTATTCTTAACACGGAAAGAAAAATATCTCCTCTCAAAGAATAAGTTATAATTAAGAAAGAAAAGAACATAAGTTTCTTACTTTGCGTTCTACTGAAATATCTGAATGCATAATCATTTAAAAAATTTACTTACAGCATGTTATTTCGTGAACTGTGAAGAGAAATGCTTTCAATACACTCTTGATCTCCGAAATGTAACAATAGTCTCCTGTACTTGTATTCTGGAAGTTAACGGCTTCAAATACAGTATGCGCCAAATTTGAAGTACTGAAACTCGCGCATCTCGAACGCGCATGTGCGTTTGTCGACGGGACTAAGCTACAGCCGCACGTGTTCCCAGTAGTGAAAAGGAAGTTGCGTTGTGCAATTGTTGTGCAATTGTTGTTGGAAACGGGTCTCTCGACGGAGGAAAAAGTATTCATAGTTGAGTATTATTTCCGCTCATACGGAAGTGGTCGCCAGACAACTCGCTTCCTTCGTTTTGAGAAGCCAGATGTTATCGTCCAGAAACCGCTACACAGTACACGTGTGACGATACGGTGTGCCGTCTCAGCACACGGTATATTAGGCCCCTATTTCATTGAGGGTGAGGAAGACAATGCTCTTTCCGTCACCCAAGAACGCTACAGGGACAGGTGATTGGACCATTTCTTCAGGATTTGAGAAGGTCCTGTCGTGCAAGGGGCCTTCACATGAATAGACAGTCGTATCAACAGGACGTCTTTTCATTTCAGTACTGAATGTTTCGGCGCATACTGTATTTCCGTTTCGTAGTTTCCTTTGTCTCGCCAGCCTATTACTGCTACAGAAGACTTATTTCAAGGGGACCACAGCCGCTGCCCTTCAAATCCATACCCATTTCCCATTCATGATAAAGTCCCACATATTCGACGCTATATAAGCTCACTATTTGAATTAGTGTCGTTAAGGAACCCAACCTAGAAAATCAGCTCATATGGTAACACTCCTGATATCGAGTCGAGAGATGTTCGGTTCCAATCTCGGTTCGAACATTTACTATATTGTCTAAAGTTTTTCATGTTTATCTTCAGTCTCTCGAGGAGAATTTCAGGATTATACTTTGAAATATGCCACCACCACTTCTTCTCCGTTTCTTTCAAGTTCGCAGAACGTGATTCTCCTTCATTCGACATCAAATAAAGAAATGTAGTAGATACAACTTCGTCTAATAATATGCAATCCATTCAAAATACCTACGAATCTGCTGAAGGACATTGCCAAAATTATAGTGTCATAATGCTAGGCTGTTCACTAGTGTTACTGGTAAAACTTGTTTAATGTTTCAGGTAAACAGACGAAGGATGAGTCGTGAGGAATACGAAAGCTACTACAGAGCAGTTATTTTGTTAATACTCTTCGTTGTGGCCAGCGGCTCAAAGACGAGTTCTCAGCAACGTTACCGTCGCTTCGAGTCTGTAAATTCCTGCTTCCTGGCAGAATACGCCCACTGGAGGAAACTGGAGCAAGTAGTCATATTCGAACATCCCAGATTCGGTAAGAATTCCGTGCTGTAATTAAGCGAAGTTAAAGTTTCCCTGTGCCAAAGTGGCGTGACATTGAGTTACCCTTTTCGAATATAATCATCGTCGTCATCTGCACCATCATCCATATCAAAGCAGCAAGTGTTCTTATTGACCCAGTCTGGGTTCACTTATCGAGTAGTCAGTACAAAGACACTCCTCAGGTCCTCGATCCGTGTGGTCGGTTATTTTTTAATATTACTGAAACCTCTTTCTTTGCATCCTTTTAAAAAGTGATAACGAATTGGGTTTATACTCCAGAATTGTGTCCACTACGAGTTCTGGTTTTAATTCTTCTAATACGTCCTGATTTGTTACATTTCTTCCCTTTCGACTATCTGCCGAGTTATAAGCATATTAGCAAACAATTTCACGGTATTCCTCAGCTTCTCTGCGCCTTTAAACAGGCAAAGAAAGTCTCTTTCGAAATCCTTACGTATGGTTCCCAGTATTCATGAATATTCTTCCATGTAAGATTTGAGGCTTTCACGGCGGTGACTATGAAGAAAGCAGTGTTCTGAGATTTGGCACCGTGTATATGTGGTGTTAACCGACGTTTCGGAGGAACGTATCGCCTCCAACAGGTAAAAGCAGACTGTGAGCAGCAGTCTGCTTTTACCGGTTCTCACGGTCTCTTCGCTTGCAGATTTCTTATTTTTTCTTCTACCCTGAAGATGGAGGCGATACGTTCCTCCGAAACGTCGGTTAACACCACATATACACGGTGCCAAATCCCAGAAGACTGCTTTCTTCAATATTCTTCCACTTGTAGGACTCGGAATTTCTGACGGCGGTGGTTACGAAGAGTTCTACCTTCTGGGATATAACGCCGTGCAGTCCGTTGAAAGTCTATCAACATTTTGGAGAAACGTGTCGCCTCTATCTTCAGGGTCTAACAACTGTAATCTAAAAAGGAATTTATCCAAGTAATCGCCTAAAGAAACTGAGGAAGATGAAGTCAAACTTCAGAATACCTGGTATCATGGCCAAGATTCAAACTCAATATCTTCCGAATAAAAGTCTAGAGCGTTATCTTTACATCAACCTCCTCTAATAACTGACGTAAGAAACTCGAGGTACTTAGAATCAAGTTGTGAGGCCCTGAAGTTTCGTATGGTAATACAGAGCCATCTGAAGAGGGAGTTACACATTTTAGTTTGGATATTTTTATGCGAATGGAAAATAACGGGATGAAGACTGCAAGAAATATTTGTGTTCAATGACGAATTATTGCAAACTGGCATGTTGTACTTCTGTGATGACATGTTTCACACATCTATTAGAGTCTACTAGTGGTAGTAGTTATTGACGTTAAAAGCTACAAGGTATACTTTACACCAAGCGAACAGTGATTCATAGAATTTAGAGGAGTTGTAGACTCCAATCGTGCTATAGCGCCACGGAATGAACAGCTGTGTATATTTATTTCCACGGATGTCTTCCTTGTACAGTTTGCTTGAACTTTCACTTCTGCTCATAAGTAGGAACAGCTGAGGACCACGTGGTAATGAACCGCACCGCTATTGCAGCTCTCAGGATAAATGCAGACAGGAATGGAACTTTCTCTTCTTCCGCTTCCCGTTTCCTCGTGGAAACTCGCGAAGGTTATTTCTGTATTCACGATCGCAAACTGTATCTGTTTAAGTTACTGTGCTATAGCTCATGCTCTTACTTGCTGGCTTCACATTACCGAGCCCTGGGTTCAATACCAAGGCAATACAAGTGGGATTTATGACTGTCTCCTATGAAATACAGTTCCGTCAGTGTCCTGTGCTCAGCTGTAGCCTACAATTGGCCAAGAGCTAAGGACCACAGAACTATTATCATAGTTCTATCAAGGCTTGACATCTCAACTGTGCCTGCTATGCATGAGCATGCTCATGAGACCGTGACGTATGTTAAGCAAATTTGACTGTCGACTAATGCGAGGGTTGGGGAAGGTTTATAGTGTTGCCAAATCAAGAAGAATGAGGTGAGATGAACTTGTAGCATGCATGAAAGGAGTAGGAGGATTATGTTGAAGATAATTATGTTAAAAGCATACAGTGAGAAATGAATTTTGAGACCTGGCATAGATGGAAAAATATTATTATTAAAATGAATATTACTTTTCTGGGACGTCTGAGCTAGATTTATCTTACTTAACATATGCATACAGCGGCCTCCGTAGTCTAGGGGTAACGTTCCCACCTCGTGACTCAAGGTACGCGGGTTCAAACCCGGCGGAGGTAGTGGAATTTTTAAGGGCGGAAAAATTCAGGGAACAAGTCCTCCGGGACGGACTTCAAGC